CACACACACACACACTGAAAGCTCGTTAACTGAGCGGAAGCTCGTCAAGCGAAACAAATTTTCTGCGAGTGGCTCGCTCGTTACCTGAAATGCCCGTAGATAGAGCTCCTTCTCACCTCAGGCTCCACTGTACACGTTGGTCATCTCAGCCGGCAGTAGTTCAACTGAACGGAATCTAAATATTCGGTGACCTCTTAAACAGTGGGTTCATATACCAAATGCGCCAGTATACGAGACTGGGTTCTAAATAACTGATGACAATCAATAAGCCAGAAGAGGCTACCGCAGTGTCCTTAATGGCCGTCAGTAAAATAGTATGATAATAAAAAAATAGTTACAGACCACATACACCTGACGTTCCATCAACAGTATTTCACGCTTTAGGACAGCGCAGACTTTAAAACATACCGTAAGCATGGCTGCTGACGAAACAAAAGGGAAAATCAATAGATACCCATCACGAAAGCTGTGACTACCTCTGCCTTTTCTTTCGAGTCGCCATTTTTTACCGGCCGAGGCGAGGCTTCTCGAGCACTCACTCTAGGACTCCGTGTGGTGTCCTCAGCGTTAGAGCCCTCCTCTGTGGTTCGTTGGGAGCGTTCTGATCCCGCGTCATCATCATCAGCTCGTTCAGCCTTTTCAACCTCGGCCGGCGGTGTCGTCATCTTTTTTGACCCACGACCAACAGGGACCGGTTTCTTCTAGGTTAATGATACAAAAGGTCTTACATTTCGGGCAAAGAGAGCCAATCGGGATAAAAGTAGGTTACTTTGGGCATGTACTTTAAATATACCTAAGTAAATATTATATGCGTTTTAGTAGGCGTAGGTATGCACAATTCTTTTATTTCAATCACATTTCTCCATACTTGGACACATCGCATTGCATCTCATTGCTGATAGTTGATGTACTTTGTTTTACCGTTTTACCGCGTTACTTAGCCTTAGTGCATTGCATTGCCTACACGGAAACCTTTATTAAATGGCAAAAACTTCTGCATAGTTAGAATTTATCGCTCTGACTCGCTCGGTCATCACTTGACTGGTTAATCATTCCCACAGTAGTCCCATATCCGTTGGCTTTGCCTAAGCACCTTGCACTTCCAACACGGAAACCTTAAATAATCGGCAGATACTTTTGCCTAAGCTCTGTATCACGTAACCGCATAGTTACAGTTTCTTTTCCTGAATCGTTCGGTTATCATGCAAGCGGGTGATTATTTCTACCACAGTTCCACATTCGTTAACTTTGCCAAGCACATTGCACTCCCCACACGGAAACTTTCAGTATTCAGCAAAGGTTTTTGCCTACATTGACTATTACACAAGCGCGGATTTTTTCCCCGTTCGACTCACGCTCGATTTTTCGAACCCTCGGAGTCCATTCGAGTCCGAATTGTCGCAAATTGCTGTTTAGTTATTTTTAAATTATCGCGCGCGCTTGTTCGTTGCATATATTAGCTCGGTATAACAAGTTTATCTACTATTTCCTGTTTTGTTTGCTATATTTATTTTATTTTATCTCCAGCATCCCGTGATACCCATTCATAAAACCCCTATTACAATCGACCTCGTAAGATGGAATCCTGTAGTTAGGAGTGTGTTACGTGCGCTACATTACCCACTTCCTGATCAATCAGATGCGTACCCCCGGAAGGTGGGGGTGAGAGAAGGAAATAAAAGACAGATTAACTAACCGTCCGTTCCTCAGTTGTGGGTTTGGGCTTGGTTGAAACCTTGCCCGACCGGTTTCTTATGGCGGGACTGGGTTTTGTCTCCTGCGCTCCAAGCAGTCGACTGCGTCGAGCTGGTTTTCGGGAGGGTATGATGGAGAGAGCGTTTGCCGCCTCGTGCAGCAGGTTCTGGACGTCGTTGTTGTCCAGTTCACGGCTCAATGCGTGATCGTTGTCTTGAAGGCCCTGGCAGGCGTCAATATAGCGGCGATTTATGACTTGATCCAGCTC